TTCAATTATAAGACTTTGTATAAAGCTTTAAGGAAATTAGTATCAGACTTTTACATTGTTCACCTGCAAAATGAATGTTATTACTCAGTCCCCAATATACCCTAGTCTGACTACACCAGGGATCTTATCATTAAATGAATCATTTATTAACTTCTTAAGTACAGTTATCACAGAGCACAGTCCCTGAATCACACAGCTGCAAAGATGAAGAACCAACAAGTGAACTATTCAGGACTGAATATGGCCAAGGAACCAAAGAGGCAGCAAAGCAAATCTAAGGGCGGGAAAAGCTCCATTTCAGTAACTGAACAGGAAATAACCCAAGTGGAATTAAACCTTCAAAATGCTCCTCTGGATCTCCAGGGGAAGGAGAAGACCTGCTACTACAAAGGTAAGCATTTACTAGATCCTCAATATAACAGTTCTGGGATATATCATCTTGGTGAAGGGTTGTGGGAAAGATGAGGGAATATTTTTCATTTGTGAGGATGAGAGCTCAAAGTTTGGATATGGTACTGTAATATGAATCTGAAGGCTAATTTTATTCAGAACTGTTAAACCTGTAGGCCGTCATCAACAAATTGGGGCACTATATTTACTGAATATGCAACAGTGTATTTTGAGAGAAAGATGAGCAGGGTAGATGTGGGTTTAGAGAGAGGAGTTTATCCCTTTGATTCCCTGTACGTGTGGGTTGCCTTGTATGTAAACCTTCTAATCAACGGTCTCCATCTCTCCTTTCTCAGTGTTTCTGTTTCTCTCCCTGCAGTTTCACTGTTATCTCCAGAGAAGCTCGTTGCTGAGATTTTGGCCGTCGTTTGCATTGTCCTAGTGGGCTCTGTGCTAAAAATGATATTAATAGCTCTTGTTCCCTGTAAGTATATTTCTGAAAGGTTATAATAGAGCTTTCACCTTAATGATGGAAAGTGACTCTAAGCATTTTGTAAGAATAGGAAATAGGATATTTAGACATTAATTATTTAATAAGGATTATTTCAATTTTTTCCAGTTACATTAACACAGAAGCTGAACAATTCTTCACAGATTATAAGAACTCAGAAAGGTAGGTTTTATATTTTATCTCTATCTTAGCCTGTGCAAAAATATAATAGATTTTGGGGGGGGAATTAAATTAGAATATTGGACAATAAATGTTCATAAATAAAGATTGTAGGAGAATATTCCCTTTTCTTCAATAATGAGTACAAATACCCATTAAAATTACTATATCCTCTTTTTGCCATTTTACTGAAATTACTACTGCTGTGATATGATAAGAATTAAAAGTCCTGAAGGTCTAAAAAAAGTGTTTGTTCAGTGATTCCTCAGACATGTGTAGGGTGGATTTCGTTTGGTGTTTTCCTTTATGCGGGAACGTAATCAGGACAGGAGAGACTTGCCATTTTCAATGCGTGCGTATATGACCGAGAATGTGTTTTTTACATGTACCAGTTCTCTGAATGCAAAGATATGTTATGTGCATGTAAGTTTATATCTTTACAAATACATAGATTAATTTTTACTTTAAAAAATTCATAGTTTTTCTGGATAATAATTCATAGTCTTTCCTCAGCATATCATTGTGCTCGTTGTCCAGAGGAGTGGTTCACATATTCCACCAATTGTTATTACATTAGCAAGGAATTCAAAACTTGGGATGAGAGTGTGACGGCCTGTGCTTCTAACAACTCTAATCTGCTTTACATAGATAATGAAGAAGAAATGGTAAGATG